CCAAGAGCGACCTGCCCTGCTGTGTGGCATGTTTTCCCAGAGGTTTCTCCGTGTCGGGATGGTTCATGCACGTCTCCGGGTGGGCCTGTTGTGTTGGTGCTTTCTGTGGCATGGTGGCTCTTGACTGCAGTGTGGCGGCGGCCCGAGGGCTGGTGCGCATCTCCGTGCCGCTTCCCGGGCGCCTGCTGTCTGCCTTTCAGGGTGCCTGCATGGCTGGGGGCCGGCCCGAAAGGACTGGCGCACCCTAGCTGCGTGGCCTCCCAGGCAGGCGCCTGCGCGGCTGGGGGCTGTCTACCATTTTTAATGTGTGTTATACTAATTAGATTACACAATATGAAAGGCCAGGGATCTTGTGTCTGGTTTGTGCCTAAATTTCAGTGTCTCTAATGAAGGTCCATGCAGACTAAAAAAATACATTGGATGAAAATGAAAGTGCAGCATCTAAAAATTCTCAGAATGCAGCTAAAGCAGCATGCTGGGAGGAAAATTTATAGTACTAAGATAAAGCCATCAGAAAAGGGAAAATATCTAGTCAGTATTCTAAGCTCCCACCTCAAGAACCTAGAAAAAAATTATCAAAGTCAAAGCAAGCAGAAAGCAAGTAATAGTGAAACCAAATACAGTAGAGAAAGTCAGTGAAATGAGCTGGCTCTAGGAAAAAATAAAATTAACAGACCTCTATGAAAACTGACAAAAAAAGAAAAAAGATGGTTAAGAAGGGTATGGGAGACCACCACACTGCTCTTTCCTGAAAAACAAAGCCTTTGCCTCAACCTGTCTTTCACCTCTCCTTCACCCTATTTACTGAGATATGTCGAGCTGGATATATTAAAACAAATGTTCCTGGCTGTAAAGGTGCCAGCCTTGCATACATCAAAATTATCTGTGCATTGCTAATTGGAGGCCTCTGTGCCTGGTATGGTTACAAGGTTTCTTTTCCCTATGCACTCTGCCATGCTCCCTGCCCACTGCCCTGATTTATACCAATAAAAGTCATGAGTTTTGGAGAGGAGGCCTTTTGTTCCTAGATCTCCTCAGCTGCAGAATATCCTCTCTTTGTCTTTCTTTTGCATCCTTGTGCCATATTGCCAGGTGGGTTAGACTGATACCCTCAGCAGGGGTTTCGGTAGAAGGGTCAAGGAGATGGGGCTCTTGCAGTAGAGAAGTGGTCAGAGGGAAACAGCGTGTGGGGTGAGGAGCGGGGGAAGGGGAAGTAAGTGGAATAAAGATGTGCTGTGTACAGGAACCTAAGAACCTCAATGATCGTAAGCAGGAAGTACCATAACATAAGCTAAGATTAATAATATCAGCAAAACTGAAAAATAGGATAGGAGAATTGGAGAAGGGGAGAGGGAGGGAGAGGGAAGGGGACAGGATTAAAAAGAATGAAACAAACTGTAGTATGTACTTGTAACCATTCCTCAAATGACCGTAAACTACATGAACTGCCAACATGTAATAAAATTAAAAATTAGAAAACTGACAAAAAAGCTAGGAGACACATTACATCAGGAACGAAACAGGGCGTATCACTCATGACCTGGCACACATTAAAAGGATAATGAGATAATCCTGTGAGCAGTTCTACCTACATAAAGTTGAAACTGTAGTTGAAATGGATCAGTTCTTCAAAAGGCACGTTACCGCAACTCACTGAAAGTGAAGTAGGTAATTTGAATAGGCCTGTCACTATTAGGGACATTTGACTTACAATTTTTTTTGATGATGGGATTGAACCCAGAGCCTTGCACGTGCCAAACATGTACTTTGCCAATGAACTATGTACTTCTCACTCTTTGAACTTAAAATTTTAAAAGTCCCAGAAAGAATAATTTCACTACAGAATCTACTAAGTTGTTTGAAGAAAAAGTAAGGCCAATTCTATACAGTATCTTAGAGAAAATAGACGAACAGGAATGCTACCTTTGTGGGAAACTGGGTCCGAGGCGCACAGGATCTTGGTGTTTGTCCTTACAACAGTTCCTTGTATATGAATCTACAATATGAAATGAAAAGGTTTACCTTAAAGAAAAGTAACCACAGGGAGAGAAAAAGATATTTTGTACAGAAGAACAAATATGATAATATGATACTTTTTTTTGAAATAACACAAGCTAGAAGTACAGCAATGTCTTTAAAATACTGAAAGAAAAGGAAAGTTTGATTCTAGAGACTGTTAGCTTACAGGTTCTCTGTACTGCAGCATAAGGGTGGTCAAAAACAAAGACGGTGAAGCAATTAGACACATGGGCTTTAGCTCTGTATGCTTCAGGCAATGCAGGTGGAGCTATCATCCTTTGAACAGAAAATCAGCCACACTTTTTAGTCCCTGATCTGTTTCTGTACATTTCCTCTATTTCACCTTTGGAAAAGTAAAATCGGTTAATATATTGTTTTACCTGTCAAGCAAGTTTTTATTCTGAAAGAGAATAAAGTAAATGTGGAGGCAACTGCAGTAGAGGCAGATTTGGAGAAATGTCATAGAAGAGAAATTCAGAGAAAAACCTTTGGAAATTTAGAGGAAGAACTGAAAGCAGAACAAATGGAGGGTGTCAAAGAAAATGACGTGTGAGTCTGATTAAGAGTGGAGGAGGAGGAACGAGCTGAGTGGTGCCCAAGATCTGGGCCCAGATGAATGAGACAGGAGCGCACCGTGAGGCAGTGACTGAAGGCAACAGGCTCCTCCACTGCAGAGGTTTTGCGTTTCTCTGCTGGCTTGTGTCCTTATTACCTGAAACAGGGTGGGCGACTTAGTAAGTACTCAGTAAACATTTATTGTGTGAATGAATAACTGAACATAAAAATTAGAAAACAGTGGTCATCCGTTTTGGTTGAAATGATCTGATGTGAGGTCTGGTTTAAGAATCATAAATGTGGAAACTTACCCTGACTGCTGTTTGTTAGCCATCATCCGGTCTTGCAGCTTCAGCCATCACAATACACTACAAAACTTGTGGAGAAAGCTGTACCACAGCCAGCATGCTGGTCAAGCACTTTAGCTTGTGACGCTTGTAAAATGGGGACTGCAAGAGAAATTAGTGTTACTGTTGATGTAGAGCACTAGTTTAGCACTTGATCCATACATAACAAGTACTCAGTTAAGGTCATCCTTTTTGAAACTCAGTTACACATTGACTCCTGACATAGATGAGCTGCCACACCTTTAATACAGCTGCACTAAAACTATTAACAGGGGCTTGGAGAAGTAGCTTAGCGGTAGAGTGCTAGCCTAGCATGCACAGGGTTCAAGCCCAGCACTAAAAACTGTTTGGGTTACCTTAGCCAAATCTGAACAGTATCTTAAAAGTCATCCAGAGTAAGCCCCTCATTGAAAGTGAGGCAGGGTGAAAAATGTGACTTGCGTGAAGTCACATAGCTAGCTGAAGAAAAAAATGGAGGAGAAAAGGTAGCCAGGGACCAAACCCAAGAGCAGTGGTCACCTCAAAAGCCTGGAAGAAAAAGTGGAGCAGGACAACACTGATTAGCTGGTCTTCCCCAGACCCCTTAGTGCTGGGGATCAAGCCTGGGGCCTCACACATGCTAGCAGGCACTCCACCACCAGGAGCAACCCGGCCCTTAGCTGGGCTTGGGGGTTTACTTCCAAACGCTATAGGTACCTTCAAGGATAAATTTTGTTTTCTGGAAAAATATATTTGCCTGCTAGATAGCTCTTGCCTATACTTGTTGACATCTTTAACACGTCCAAAATCAAACTTGGAGTCTCTACATAGTGAGACTGAAAAGGATCTTAGAGTGCCTCCCGTTCAGTCTCCCTTTCTGCAGATTAGGAAAGCAGATCCTGCTCTGGGGTAGAGGTCTCACACTTTTTAGACTCATTGGTGGCTCCATGAGCAGTCAGTTGTCTCTTGGGTCGCTCTGGTCCCAGAGCATTCCTTTAGAATCCTGACTTTGAGCCTTCAGAGTGAGTTCTGGCTCACAACAGCCCCTGGTCTTGATTAGAGTGGCGGTTTCCAATTTTCTTTTAAATTGCTGCATGCTCCACTTGAGGTCATCCTACAGATAGAGACTAAAAGAGGAGCTGATGTGGGCTGGGTGTGTAACTCAGTAGTAGAGCCCTGGGCTAGCATATTCGAAGCCTTGGACTTGATCCTCAGCATTGCCAGCAAACAGAACAAAACAAAACAAGGAGCAGAAGTAGGTAACAGGGAGAAGTGCTGGAGGTAATGGTGGTAGGATATAGATAGTTGCGGAAATCACAAAATGGAGAGAATGAGTTCTATCCTGATTGCTTTGCCGGCCTCCCTAATCTCCAGAGACAAGGAACCTCTGAAGAGCCTCCATGTTAGGAAGCCATTTGAAATCCACTGATGTAGAAGCCTGTGGGGCCTGGCAGTGACAGCTGTCAGGAATGGTATTGGTTATCTGCTCTACAGTAAGTTCCCATCTGCAGTGACTTTAAACATACACCCTGGAGTAATGAAGCTGAGAAATAGGGCACCATTATAATTGAGACTTTAACAAACTCTGCTATCATTTAAAAACTTTCATTGATCATGTTTGTATTTATTCACACAGAAAGCAGCTTTTATGTGAATTAGTTGCCTTAAAATAGATAATTTTATCAGTATAGACAGCCCACTAATTACTTTCATATGTGGAGAAGCTTAGGTGTAGTCAGTGATTGGTCTTGTATGAATCCCTGTCGTGTTCTCATGAATTTTAAAATATTTGCTGTATGTTTAATAACTGTTTTTATAGTATTATTTATAATTTTGAATTTTAGTCAGCAACTTATTAAGCCCTGTGCTAGACACCACAGGGGTGTGGGATGATAGGGCAAAGTTCTTGCCCTCAAATTTGAGTCATGCTGAGTGTGGAATGAAGAACGTGACATTTTATATTTTTTTCCTTTTTATTTCATTTCACCACCTGAGCTTTTGTGTTGTTCCATTTTTAATTTTAATTTACTGATGTGTAAAGCATGTTCATGACTGAAAATTGAATAATTTAAGGCTGTGTGCTTTCTCTCAAATTATTAGGTTGCGAGACTGGAGAAAGATAAGGAAGAACTACATAACCAGCTGCTTAGTGTTGATCCCACAAGAGAGAGCAAACGAGTGGAGCAACTTCTCCGAGAAAAAGCCCATTTGAGTCAGAAATTAAAAGGCTTAGAGACTGAAGTAGCAGAATTAAGGGCTGAAAAAGAGAATTCTGGTACTCAGGTAGAAAATGTCCAAAGAATACAGGTGCGGCAGTTGGCTGAGATGCAGGCTACAGTCAGATCCCTGGAGGTAAGGTTTTAATTGCTTCCCGGAAGAGTAGGGCATAGTTTTTAAAAGTGCAGTTGATAAGGCTTTGATTTTTAGAACATAAATGTGTGCTTACCAGTGTAATGCTGACGCATTTGTGGAACCCCAAGAGTGTTCTTACTGTAAAGAAGAAAACTATTGATTCATAAGCAGTAGCTATGCTACCACATTTATAAAGGGAATGTTTATTCTATGAGAATCAAGTCACCTACCTGAAATGACTTACCTCTTATAATGCCACAGAATAGACTATGTAAAACCCCCTAAATATGTTTGAATCTCTGAAGATTAAAGTCATAGTCATATCAAGCAAAAAAAAAAAGAAAGAAAAAGAAAATTTCTTTCGGTGTTGTAAATTCTTTACATTGGTATTTGAAACCTTAAAATCATAAGTCCTATTTGAACAGAAATACCGTATTTAACATACCTTATGATAGCTTCTTGCCAGAATAATAAAATTCAACTTGGCTACTACAGTGTACAGCAAATCTTTACAGAATTATTTCCCTGAGTTGGTTAGAGAAAGTTAATTGTTAGCAGAACCAAATTCTTACTTCTGGAAGAATTGTCTTAGGAAAACTCTCGGTTTCCATCTTACTCAGATGCAGTCACTTTTCCTTTATTATGTGCCTAACAGGTCTCAAATAAATCAATTTAATGTTTTGACTTACTTGTAAAATTTATTTTTTTTTTATTTTAAAGAATTGTAAAATTTATTTTACAAATGACTTATTTGTAAAATTTAAAGTTTTTTTTTTTAATCCTTCTGGAATAGTCATGAAATGATTTGTGTTAGAAGGAAATGATTTAGTAGTGTACCTAGTTTATAATTAAAATCCAGTATCCAAATCCAAGTGATATTTTTTCCAACCAGCAAGCTGGCACAAGGAGTATATTGATATGTTTTGAAGAGAAGTCACTTTTTAAAGTTTTTACGTGATGCTTCTGTCAGTATTTGCTGGTTTTCTGAATGAAAGTTGTCAGTATCATTGGACCTTAGACATCAGACAGTTCAGAGTGAGAGCGTTTATGTTGCCATTCTTCTGTGCTTCATGTATTTACACAGTGACAGAGTAAGTGAGATGATTGCAGTTGAGTACAGTATATTGTCTCAGTGTGAAACTTTTCATCGAGCTCATCTGGAGTGATTATTTTCAGGGCAAGTTGAATGATAACAAAAGAGAGATGGTTCATTTGTGACATTTCCTGAAGAGCCTGTATTTAATGTTATCATTTGTCAGATGAAAATAATACATGGCAGTAAATATTTCTTCAGCATTTTGGCTATCATTATGCCTGGAAAGTATAATTTCATATGTGAAGAAAATACCTTTTTCTTCCTGAATTATTTGTTGAATACAGTTCTTACGTATATTTAATACATATAGGAAGTGAGATATTAAAAAATAGTTTATTCTGCAAAGGCTGCAGCTTTTTATTTTTGGAAGTATTTTTAAAAAGCTTTTTGTTTTTCTCTCTAATGACAGTGTTTTGGGTGTGGCTGACAAACTTTTTGACAATTTACAAACTTTATTAAGAATCTTAATTATGTGGCTGGGTATAGTGGTGCTTACCTATAATCCTGGCACTCAGGAGGATGAGGCAGGAGGATCACTGGCAGTGGAATTTGAGGCCAGCCTGGGCTAAATGGTGAATTCAAGGCCAGCCTGAACTGCATAGAGAGACCCTGTGCCAAAAACAAAAAAACAACAACAAAAAAAACCAAAAAAACCTCTACCTTGGCAGAGAATTTTGAATTTTATCTCTACCTCTTTCTTTAAAAAAAAATTCCATTGATTTTGAAATTTCAGTGTTCACTTGTCCTATCTGTCAGTGAGTCTTCTTTTGTCTTCTAATGTGCTTTCTCATAACTGCTGTGGACTGGAACCCCCTCCCCCCAAGTACAGTTGAATCATGTCAGCATGAAGTATCAAATGAGTGGCACAAGTACTCTCTCTCATGAAAGAAGTATGTGAGGTTTATTGTTAGTGGCTATTGATACGCTGTTTGCCCATTTATTTGTTGCATATTACTGGAACACACATGTCTTTGTGTTTTGTTTTGTTTTTGATACTGGGGATTGAATCAGGGTCTCATTTATGCTGGACAGAGGCTTTACCACTCAGCTATACCCCAGCCCCCGTGGAGCAGGTATCTTTCGTGTGAAGTCTACCAGTTGCTTTGAGGAAACTTTTGTTACTTTGGTACATGTTAATGTTGTTGGAGCTTTGAATACTTTTTTATATGGTTACACATGAGTTTTAAATGATGCTTATTTTATTTTGATATATTGTGAAAAATTATGGACAAATTTTAAAATATTTTGTTTTAATAAAAGGCTGAAAAACAGTCAGTCAAGTTGCAGGCTGAACGCTTGGAAAAAGAGCTACAGTCAAGCAATGAACAAAATACTTCTTTAATCAGTAAACTGCATAAAGCTGACCGAGAAATAAATACATTGACCAGTAAAGTAAGTGGTCCTTTGCATTTGTTCCATTTTTTAGAGTGCTCAATTCTATATGATGATATGGAAGCTTTGTTTTTAATAGCTGAGCTCTGCATGTTGAAGTCTTGTTTTATAATATCATTCTGCTTTTCAAGAAATAAAATGTGTTGACCAGGAGTGTAACTCACTTTTATATTTCTGCTTCATCCTGTGGAAAGCTAGGTACTCTACAATGGCAATGTGTTTAGTTCTCTATATTGAAATCTTTTATCCTGTCATTCTACCTTCCTGATACATGCAGAAAGCGACCAATTCTTACAATCTCCACTGTGGTCACTCTAGTACAACCCATGATCTCTGTAGGTTTGGTTTTTATAATAGCTTTGTAACTGTTTCTTCTGTTCTCCATCCAGAGCTCTGTGTAACCTGGCATCTACAGTCTTTCCACAGCTATCGCCCCCAGTTTCCTTCCCGTGTACCTGCTCCTGCTTCACTGGCCTTCTCCCCGATCCTTCTACCTCTGGGCCCTTGCCTGCCATGGCCTTCCTTACCTACCTACCTGGCGTGCTTCTTTACCTTCTTAAAATGTCACCCAGTTATGGAAGGCCTGGCTTCACTTGGTAAAATAACACTTACTTTCCTCTTCTTCTGCCTTACTCTTTACCTTCCTAACCTGCCTTATTTTTTCCCCATACCTCTGAATAGCATCTACTTATATTTATTTGCTTTTTAAAAATGTCTTTTCTACCACTTTCCCCTCCAACTATGTGTAAGCTCTGAGAGAGCGGAGACATTGTTTTCATCACTGCTGAGGACAGTGCTGGCACACAGTAGACACTCTGTAAACTTTTCTTCAGTGAGTGAATTAATATTAGCAGCTTACCCTGTAACATAACTACTATTCCAAAAGTCTTTTTAAATTTTATGAAAACAGAAATCAAAATTTCCTAACAAAATAAGAAGAGAATAATAGACATAGTTTTTCTCAGAAACTCACTTTTTTTTTTAACCTTAAGTGCAATAAATGTTAGGAGCGATAAAAGTATTTTATAGAACATCACCTCTGGAGCCTAGTTGGAGTCAAATTCTATTTTTTTTTCCCCTCTTACTAGCTGTGTGACTTTCTCTTTGAAATTTTAGTGTCTTCTCCTACATCATGAAAGTCATGCCTATCATAAAGAGTTGTGGCCAAAATTAAAAGAAATATAAAGCACTTAAAAGAGATATAAAGCACTTAGTGTAAACTCTAACAAATAGTCACTAAAATATTGACTTACTAGGTCTTAGGGCATTACTAAGAACTTGGAAGTAACATTGGTTTCTGAGTTAGTGAAATCATTGTGTTTTCTATTAGGGCAATGTAAAAATAACCTTAAAAACCAGACGGCTCCTAGACCAAAATACATTTGGTACACCTTTATAGAAATGTATACATTTAACTAAGGTAATAAAATAGTCATTATCAGTTCCTTTCCAAGGAATTTCTTGAGATGACTTAGGGGCCAGTATATGACTGAGGGGAGAAAGAGGATTAGTCAGCATAACTATTCTGCTGGTATTTTGGCCACTGAAAATACTATTGTTGGGGAAATGAATAAATCAGTCTCTTTTAACCTGTTAACCTGAATGGCCGTGAAGACATCCGTTCATCTTATTGTCATTGCTCTAATCACCAAGCAACCTTCTGACTGCTGTTTGACTTCCCATATAATTTTGTCTGCAGAGAGAGAATGTGCTAGTCTTTCAAACTGAAATTTTCTACTTGCGTTGTTTTTTTTCTTATAATTAAACTGTCATTCTGATGTTGTGAATTACTCTTAATACACTTTATTGATGTAAGTCCAACTTTAAGAGTGGTGGCAGCATTGGATTTTAGATGTATGGGATGCCACCTTTGGGAGGTGATCTATCCAGTTTTTCCCATGGCAAACACAAATTATGTGTCTAATGACTCTTAATTTTTTGTTTGAATTTCTGTACTTTACAAAGTGGCAGTGGTTTTCTTTCACCAGTGTTTCATTTAATTCAGTACACATGACTGACACTAAGAAGAAAAGTGAAAACTAGGCATGTATGATTTTTTATTGTCAAAATGTTTTCCTTTTTATTTTTTGTAATGCTGGGGATCTAACCCAGGACCTTGTGCATTCTAAACAAACAATTGTGCTATATCCAGCCCAAGTTTTAAACTATTTTAACTTCAGGTATACTTTTTTAGTCTATATGCTGAAATTCAGATATATTTAGAAATTACAAACTATCATTTTGGAGCATGTAATAAAGTATAATTGAAAAGTTTATGGTTTTGAATCAGACAAATATATGTAGTTTTGAATCCTGACTCATGCATTTCATGTACTACTATTGTGACTTCTGTTTTGCTTAACTCTCTTTGCGGTTCTGGAGAACGCTGAACCAGTCTTGTGCATGGTAGGACGTAGCACAGAGCTACATCTCCAGCCTTTGGTGAACTTTTAAATGGAGATAATAATGCTTATTTCTGGTAGTTATAAAAATTAAAGATAGTATTCAACACAATAGGGTGTAGTGAATAAAATATTGGCAATGATTGTGTACTAGTGATAGACTTTAAGAAAGAAGATGACATGAAGAACTCAGGATTTTGAGCCTACTGACTGGTTTTGTCCTCTTTTTATCAATAACTGTGCATCACCTTGGGCAAATTAGTTAATATCATTAGGAACCCATTCATGTACTTGGGATCCAATTTTCTCATAGGTAAAATGAAACGTTGTTTTGCTGATCCCTAAGAATTCTTCCAGACTACTGTGTTTATGTAAATCCTACTAGAAAATAAGTAAATAATTTGCTCTCTGATTAACCATAAGTAGACTATACATTCAACAGATACATTTTTGAATGTCTACAGTAATAGAGTACACAAAAATAGATGTAAAACACACAGAAGTAAACTCAGGATAGAGGGGGTTCTCCTGTGTTTTCCTTTTAATTCTTGTATAAATTACTTTCAGTTTTATAAAATAATACTGAATCCCCAGTGTTAGCAGCACATTGTTCTGGGCCTCATAGCCAGACTAAACTACTGAAATAACTGGATTGGATATGCTGGACTATTTTGGTGGCTTCTGTATGGCGTCACTTTTCCTGTAGCATTTTTTATCTGCATTCCCTGGCTTACCTATGTGCAGGCCTTTATTCCTCTTCTTTACGCTGTACAAATACCCTTCTCCATTGTTCCTCCCTGTTTAGAGGACAGATGATTTCTACTACTCTGCAGTTTAGCAGTTTAGTATTACTTACTTTTCTGTGCTTGTTTATTAACATGTTGCTAAGAATGGCCCATCTTTTTAAAGGCATACTTGCATTACTTTGCATATAAATGGAGTATTAAATACATCTTTCAACTTTAGACAAAGCAAATTTCAGTGCAACTTTTCTATGTAAAATGATTCCATGAAGGGATAAATTTAAAAATAATATTTCAAACACGACTGTCACAGTTTTCTTTGCGATTTGAAATTTTCATCAACATTTTGCTCTTCTAAGCAAATGGTTGTTTGCAATGCAGAGGAACACCTGGGGCGTGTTTGTCTAAGTTATTCAAATTTGTAAATGTTCCTTAGGTTTTAAAAGAAAGTTATGTCAGTATCAGTGTCTTGGATTCAAAGGTTTTGGCATAGATGGCTTGAAAACGATGACCTTAAAGATATTTCATATTTAATGAGGTAAAATTGTTTTAGTTATCTCATGAATTTTTTATCTTTAGAAGCCCAATAAGATTGTTTTAAGAAAGCCATCCCACAGTGTTATGCTTATTAGTTAAGTAAAAGAGGTCATCCTACTTCAGAACTTTGAGGGCAATCAGAATTTAATTGCTATCTTTTCAAAATTTGCATCCAGAGCTTCTTGGGTATTATTTTTTTCCAACTATATTTCTATTTATTGCATTGTTTTCTTGTGTGTGTGTGTGTGTGTGTGTGTGTGTGTATAAATAACAGCCTGTGTAGTTCAGGCTTGCCTTAGGTTCACTATGTAGCCCAGGCTGAAATTGAACTTGAGACAGTCCTCCTGCCTCAGCCTCCTGAGTGCTGGGATTACAGGTGTGCGCCATCACAACTGGTCCTCTTCTACATTTTTTGTAGATATGTGTACTTTAACAGATTTTAAACCCCTGTAAAATGCTCAGATTGGCATTTTTGACATTCATTAAATTATTAGTAGTAATAACTGAATACTTGCCTTATTATATCAGACACATAAAGCAAATTCAGTGTAAAGGCCAGGCTGTGCATGAAAGACATTTCTTGAAAAACAGAGTGGCTTGACCCTGCAGAACTTCAGTAGACCATGGAGCTCTTGGAATTTTATGCAGCATTTTAACTTTATGCATTTTATTTAAGAAGCATTCCTCCTAGTTTTCCTAGGATCTGGGGGTCCTGACCACAAACAAGATCAAGAACATAGGTATCTGGAACTGGAAAGGAACTTTATTGTTGCTCTTTGGGGTATGGTTCAGATTATTCATTGAAAAGCGCTACTGTTTGTCATCCTGACAAATAGAGTCAGGTTTCATGATATTTTAATAAATAATACATTTACTTCTAGTATATATTTTAGGAAGTTAACAGTTACTGTTAGTACATTCATTATTTAGGGTTATGGAAGTATGGCACTACAGAAAAAGTTAAGGTCCACTAATGTGTAAAGTTTGAGTGTAGAGAGGACAAGGACAAGTGCCTTGCTTCAGTGTATATATCACTAAATCACATCTGCCGTACTGATTATTTGCATTATAGCTGTAGTTTTGCAAAAATTTAAAGCAGCTATAATTTAAACTCACCATGAAAATGAAAATGTAATATAATACAATCTATAGAAAGTTTAGGAATTAAAAAATACAACTTCATAGCTGTTTTCTTACAGTTACGAGACTGTTACATAAACGAACTTCAGAAAAGGAGATTTAAAAATACAAAGATAACCGTTTTATGTCATGTCATTGAAAAGTAGTTAACTTGGAAGGGCATGTTATTGTGATTAGTGATAGAAAGGTATCACAATACTTTCTTGTTTGTTTTCTTTAGGTGTGGATTTTGCATTCAGTCATTCCTTACATATTTTCAGGACCTTTTGTAGCTGGTGTTTCTTACAATTAGACATCTCTGTTTCTATGAGACGTCTCTAGGACCTTTTCTTGGTTTGTATCACCCAACAATGGTTATTATAGGACTGAGTAAATTAATCTTTATGCTCCTTTTCTTACCATCTCACATTTATATATTTGACTTCTATGTATTTGGAGTTTTCTGCTCTGATGCCATAGATATATATGTTTGGTAGAGGCACAGGGACTTGAACCCAGAGCCTTTGAACTGATTTATATACCCAGGCCCTTTATTTAATTTTATGTTTTTAAATTTTGAGACAAGATTTCACAAAGTCGCTAAGTTGCTCGAGCTGGGCTCAAACTTATGATCCTCCTGCCTCAGCCTTCTAGAAGGAGTCTATAGTTTTATGGGTAGAATACTTAATGTGTCAGAATACAGGTCTGTCTTACCTTGATATCAGTATTGGTTAAATCCTTGAATCAGCATCCCTAATTTTAGAAGTACCAAAGAAAATGTTCGTAATATAGATGATTAGAGAGACAAAGCTTTCTTACTTGCTGCTATATCCCCCTAGCTTATAAAATAATACCTGGTTCATAGTAGTGTGTCAGTAAATATTTATTGATGAAGAAATACTGCTTATGATCTACAATTATTCAGCATTCAAGAATATTTAGATGAAGGTGAAAACAGATGTGGATGGGTTAACTGTACAGAGAGCATTGAGAATGATTCACATTTATGTAAAGGAAGGAGACAGAGAGAGAGAGAGAGGGATCGGAGAGGAAGGGGATGAAGAAAGAATCAAGATGTATTATGAACACGTACCGGCTCCTCACCACAAATGTAATCACTAGGTACTGCAGACGTGTACAGGACTAATAAAAATTATTAAAAATATATAAAAGAATTAGATTTTGGCTGTAAAGGTTTATTAGATTTATATGACTTAAACATCTATATGAAATCTGTAAATCTATGTGATGCTTGTTCCTACTGCTCCGATTTCACATCGCACACACACACAGGTATGCACATACATGTACATATCTGTGCATACAAAATCACCACATTCCATTGATTCTTGTGCTCTTTATTAGTTCCTGTGTCTTAATTTATTTCTTTACCTTCAGCTTCTTAATCAAGCAGATTTGCAGGGTTACCTTTCTGAAATCAAGTTGATTATGCTAACTTTAGTAGCTAACAGGACAAACAACACTTTTGATTGGCGTGAGTTTACTCCCTGCCACTCCTGGGTAGATTTCATGCCTTCCTCTGCTCCACCTGTAAAGGGTAGCTCATTGTTTTAAGAGCAAACCCTGTGATATTATACCTGTTTAACATTTTTTATGCTCTTCCTCTACCTTGAATGCTTTCTTTGTTCTTAGCAGATTTTTTTAGAAGGGAGGTTTCAGCTTTTTTTTCCCTGCAGGTGTTCTAATTGTGGACCACTGTATTTTAGATATATGTAGTTAAGCCTTTTAAAGTATGATTAAGTCTAGGTGACCCCACCTAGATAGTGTAAAGAAAATCTCCATTCTGTTAGGAAAAAGACAGTGTTTTCTTGGAGTATCCTTGTGGTAAATACTTTCTCATTTCCTTTTTTTGGGGTAAGTACTGAATGGCTAGAAAATGACCAAAAGTAATTTCAATTTCTAATTATTAACAGGTAAAAGAGCTTAAACACTCAAACAAGCTAGAAATAACGGATGTCAAACTGGAGGCAGCAAGAGCTAAGAGTGAGCTAGAAAGAGAAAGAAATAAAATTCAAAGTGAATTGGATGGTAATATATGATTTTCTTTGCTTTTTACTTTAAGATATAAACTCATTTTTAAAATAAATCAACCTGTATGTTTATTTCTAGCTTCTTAGCTTAAATTGAATTTTGATCTTTGAGTGCATATAGAATGTCTTTGCTTATATGTTCAATGTTTTATTTATTCTATGATCTTTTAAGAAAATCAACCCTATGTTTATATAATAGTTATTTGATAAGCAATTAAATGGAAATTTCAAAATGGGATTCCATCCTTCCTGGGCTTATAATCTTAAATCTGTTTAAATCATGTGGTTACTAGTTCTAGGGCATTTTAATTCCATAGAATAAGGAGGATAAATGCATTTCAGGCTTCAATTTTTTTCTTTTTAAATGTAAACCCTATTATTGGAGCACACTTGTGTGTAGTCTTATTTTAGTCAGTATAAGTTCCTTTTTAGTCTTGGAATGTCTCATCAAGAGTTCTCAGAATTTACGTTGCTTCTAACTTTTAAAATTATTTAAATAAGACAGGCGTGGTGGTGCATGCCAAAAATGCTAGCACATGGGAGGCTGATTCAGGAGGACCGCTATGAGTTCGAGGCCAGCCCAAAGTGCATAGTGAAACCCTGTCTCTAAAGAAAAAAAATTACTTAAATAAACTGTCTGTGGGCTGTTGATCTGTAGTTTAAATGGCCTCTGTACTTGAGCAGCTTACGTTGAATGATTATATTTATTAATTTTCATTTAATATTGACTCATGGATTTCCACAGAGTTAGGGAGTAAAGTTTCTTAGAGACTTTCATATCTAGTGCTACTTCTAAGTGTGTAGAATTATTCATTCAATATGAATTTGCTTTAGTTATCCCAGCTGCAAAGTGCTTGTCACTTCATCACAAGGAGGACTTGAGAATCCACTAGACACATTTAGAAGTTTCTCCTGGAATCATAGGTTTTGCAGTTTTGGGTGATTTTATTTACTCTGTTACCAGCCAGTTTTGTGGTGATACTCCTGGGGCTTGGTTCACAGGACCCCTGTGAGGTGAAGGAAGTAAGCCTCTTTGGGAGCTACCCAGGTTGATCCTTCCAGCTCTCAAGATGGAAATGAATAAATGTATATAACCTTTTAAAAACTTTTTGTGTGTTATGTGCTAAATAAAGTAATGACAGAGAAATTAACTGAGCTTTAGTGTATTTCGTCCTTACTTTAAGTAGTTCATTGAGGTAAGGATCTTTGAGAATACATTCCCAGAGAGACTTTCTAAATTGTCTTGTTTCACCTACTAAAGAATGCTTGCTGTTCTGATTTTTTCATCTTAAAAATATTGAATGTAGTACATTTTTTTTCCTTAAAAAAATACTAGGGCTACAGTCAGACCATGAAATTCTCAAATCGGCTATTGAACACCAGAAAATGCTCTTAGCAGAAAAAGATCGTGAGTTAATTCGTAAAGTACAAGCTGCCAAGGACGAAGGCTATCAAAAGCTTGCGGTATTACAAGATGAAAAGTAAGTACTTTATTGCCTTAGTGCGTGTTGTTTCTCCTTGCACATGAAAACGTTTTGTTGTCGCTATTGTAACATACCTGTCATGTGTTGTTTTAGGCTGGAGCTGGAGAACAGATTAGTAGATCTAGAGAAAATGAAAGTGGAGCATGATGTTTGGAGGCAGTCTGAAAAGGATCAGCATGAGGAGAAACTGCGGGCGTCGCAGATGGCGGAGGAGTCAGCCAGACGGGAACTTCAGAGCATTAGGTTATCTATACAGATTGATTCTGATTTTGAAATCCATTTCAAAGTAACAAAAATGATGTGAATGTGGCTCAGGAAAATCCTCCTGTACACTTCACCGTGATTCCCTAAGTATCAACATTTTACATAACCATATCAAGTCTCAGAAATTAATGTAATCAAGTAACATTGCTACTTTCCAACCTATTGACTTTATTTAAATTTTACCAGTTGTTCTACTGGTGTCCTTTTTCTGGTACAATATCCAGTCTGCCCATTACATTTACATAGTTTACTTTACTCTAGAACAGACTAACACTTTTGAAGAGTACCAGTTATTTTGTAAAATATTTCTCAGGTTAAGTTTATAATACATTCCTCATGATAAATTCATGTTATGTATTTTTAGCAGAAGTAAAGGCAAGGTTATATATCCTCAGTGCTTTACATTAGGAAGTTCATGATTTTCTCCTTAACTGGTGATGTCAACCTTGATTACTTGGTTAAAATGTTGTCACCAGACGTTATTTCCAATATAAAATTAGTATTTTCTTCGCTAATACTTAATCTATTTTAAGGCTTCCCGTGTGACACTTGGAGACTATGTGAATGTTTTCATTATACTTTCTCACCAAATATTCTTCCATTAAATTTTTAGCATCCACTGATAATTCTTTCCTAAAACAAGTGTTGCTCTAATGTTTGCCAAATAGTGATTTTCTTTTCTTTTCTTTTTTTTTTTTTTTTTTTGGGTGGGGGGTACTGGGAATCGGATTCAGGACCTTGTGCTTGCCAGGCAGGCACTGTGCCACTGAGCTATATCCCCAGCCCTGTGACTTTCATATTTATCTTTATCAGTTTTCCACATTCATTAGTTGGAATTCTGAAAGGAAGAGCTTCCATTTCTCCTATAAATGTTATATTTCTATATATATGGACTAACAGATTCTTGTTTTCTTCTACATATTAGAAGATAGTAAAACCTTGGTTTGTGAGCATAGTTCATGCTGGAAACATGCTGTAAGTCAAAGGACTTGTTATATCAAAGCGAATTTTTCCCTAAGAAATAATAGAAACTCAGATGATTCATTCCACAACCCCAAAATATTCATATAAAATGATTACACGGGGCTGGGGATTTAGCTCAGCGGCAAAAGCGCCTGCCTGGCAAGCGCAGGGTCGTGAGTTCGGTTCCCGGTACCGGAGAAAAACAAAACAAACAAACAAACAAAAAAAAAGATTACAGTACTGTAATATGATATAAAATAGTAAAGAAAAATAAATTAACTTGCACTCAACCTTGAAAACCTTCGTGTATGCTGTGAAGGAGATGAGAGGAGGGTTACTGTGTAGATGATTTTTGCTGTCAGTAGCAGAATCACTGCTATCTATTGGCTCAATGGAATCTTCTTTTTGTATAGCTTTAACAAGGAAGCTATCCAGTGATACTTGCTTTTCTCCTTTTGAGGATTTTGCAGATGTGACATTGCACTGTCGTTAACCAGATTCATTGCTCACACCACTACAGCCTTCTTTGGGTGGTGCTTTTCTACATAATTTTGCACTGTTTCCCAGATTGTACACATCTCCCTAATCTCATTTGAAGTGAGGGATTCCTCTGCCCTTTCCTTATCCTCCGCTGCAGACAAGATCTCCTCCATAACCTCTCACTGTTTGGAGATGATCACCCACAATCCTGCAGAGAGAGAGAAGGGGCAGGGGATGAAGGAAGGAGGGAGGGAGGGAGACAGAGAGAGAGAGAGAGAGAGAGAAAGGGAAGATAAGGGAGGGAGGGAGAGGGAGAGGGGGCCAGTGGCTTAGTTGTGATCATGATGATCATGCTATGTCTGGCATCACACATTCCTCGTGTTGCAAGGCATCACTATCAAGGTAAAATTTCTTAGGCGTGTTCGCTGATCTTGTGAAGCTCTCACAGAATAAGTTACTTGCAGTCCAGGGTTTTACTGTATTATAATTTGCTGTTGAACTTGTCTCATATTTGGGCTTTGTAAGCTCTTTCAAGTTGATGCCTATATCCTTTTGACACAGTCCCCCCATTTTTTGAGGTTCTCTTTTTGCTGGCATCATAAGGTGTTTGTTCTTGGCCTCCCTTTGGTCATTTCTCTAAGGTGCTTTGGTTCCTTTTTATTGGAGAATGATACAGGAAAACAGAATCTCAGCTATAGGAGTGTTCATTGGTACTAGAAAAACATTGCTTCTAGGCCCTCTCAGTGAACTGAGAAAGGAAATGTACTTAAGTGTACACAAATGCACATTTGTATCTATTTCTTTATGTTCTGTATGTATATATGTTAATAATCATACATTTACAGTGGTATTTCCAATTCCAGCCCCACACCATAGAGTTCTTTTAAGCCTCTTTATATTTGTAGCTCTTTTGACAGCGATAACCCTGGCTTTCTACTTAATTCCTTAGCCCTAGAATATGCAAAAAGAAGGTTTGGAACAGCTAATTCTCAACTCTGTGGAAAACTTCTTAGCTAGTGTGTAATATCTGTGTATTCTTTTTGTCTTTAGCCCTTGAGTGTATTAAAATACACTTAGTGAATTAAAATGCTATCTAAAAGTTACTTAAGATTTTCCAGAGTTACTTAGGGATTTTCTCATGTTCACTTTGATTGCTAGTCACTTATAAGACAGCTTCATTTATTTCTGTTTTATTCCATTTTGAGCCCCCATCCCATCCTTGTTAATGTTAATGGATTTCAGTATGTGAAACATCAGGTTAGTTCTAAAGGGCAGAATGATACAAAAATTATACTTTAAAAGAATTGCTGTTTCCTACATCTGTTTGATCCTATTCTTTTTCTCCTCGTTTCTTAATTATCCTACCCCGTGGGTAATCTAATTAGTTTCTTGTTTATCTTTCCTGTTACTCTGACGCCCAGAATTGGCAGATGCATGTATGTTTTGTTTCCCCTTCTTTCTTAGCACTGTCTTTGAAGTTGCGTTAATATACCAAGTAGTTCATAGAGAGTAAACTCATTCTTTTTACAGCTGCGTAGCATGCCATTGTGTATATGTGCCAGTGGCTTACCCACTCTTTCATGTGTGTGTATTTAGTTTCCAATACTGTATTTTGTGATTGCAATCTGTATCTATTTTCATATTGTATATTTTAATGGTAAATTCCTGAAGTGAATAAGTTGGTCAAAAGGTAAATTTATATACAAGTTCATTAGATATTATCAAATTTATTTTCAAGAATATTGTTTCACTTTTTATCTCAGTATAGTTTAATTTGCATTTCTCTTAATATAAATGAGATTGAATAACATTTTTTTATGTTGAAGACCATTTTTATCTCTTATGTTGGGTTTGTCCAAGTCATTCTCTGCTGTCTGTTGATTTCTTTTATCTTGTTCCCTTTGCTTTTAAGGAGTTTGTTGTATTTTGGAAATATGTTAAAAATATTTTCTCCCTGTGTATCAGTCTTCACTTGACTTCTTGTGCAATATTTGTTATTATGTAAAGCATTTTATTATATAATCAAAATAATCATTATTGTTTCTGGATTTTAAGTTGTAGTCTCCTTGTATTGAAGTTAAAAAGGAACCATGTTTTGTGCTTGTATGGCTTCATTTTTTATATGTAGATCTTTGATCTATTTAGAATGGGTATTTCTGTGGGCTGTGAGATATCAATTTCATTTTACTTTTTCTAAATGGCTAACCAATTGTCCCACACTTTTATTAAAAACTAATTTTATTTATCATAGCGATTCATGATGATGCTTTTATTATATTTTTAATTTCCATATAACTTGGGAATATTTCTGGAACATGTAGCACTGCTGCAGTATTTTAATAATAGAGGCTTTATGATCTTTTAGAGCCAGGCATGGTGGTGCACATCTGTAATCCCAGCACTTAGGAGGCTGAGGCAGGAGGATTTTTGCAAGTTTGAGACCAGCCTGGGCTGCAAAGTGAGCTTAAGGCCAGCCTGAACTTCATAGCAAGACCCTGTCTCAGAAAGACCAAAAAAAGATATGTTTTAATGCCCCAATATACTACTCCACCCTTATAGTTTTTTGTCTTTTTATCTTTTGTGAGGTATTTTTGTGTTTATTTTTTCATATGTCCTTGAATATCAATGTCTAGCTTCATAAATTAGTTGATTGGTAATTTTATTGTGATTTCATTTGATTTTGTTCATTTTTATTGTGTTGAAATACATATAAAATTTTACCATCTGAACCATTTTATTTACTTATGTATTTATTTATTTATTTTTGGTCCTGGGAATCGAACTCAGGACCTTCCACTTGCTAGAGGGGCGCTTGTGCCGCTGAGCTACATCCCGGGCTGAACTATTTTAAAGACACATAATTCCCTGGTCTTGGATGCTGTTTTAATGTTGTGTAACCATCATCATTGTCCATCTCTGAAATTCTTTTCATCTTACACAACTGAAACTCTGTAGCCATTAAACAGTAACTCTGCATTCCTTTATCCTCTCAATCCTTGGCAATCACCATTCTACTCTCTATGATTTTGAGTACTTGAGTTCCTCATGTGAGTGGAATCATGTACTATTTGTCTTTTGTAGCATTTATTTAGTGTGATAACCTCAGTGTTCATCTATGTTGTAGTGTGTTTTACAATTTCTTTTTAAGGCTGAATAATGTTCCATTATATGTATATCTCATAGTTAACTTACCCACTCATTTATTCATGGATGGCCATACCCCATGTTAGCTATTGTGAATAATGCTGCCATGAACATAGGTATACAAACATCTTGTTAAGACCTTGCTTTCTGTTATTTTGTATATATACCCAGAAACAGGGTTGTTGGATTATATGGCAATTGTATTTTTAACTTTTTAAGGAATAGACATACATTTTCTAGGGTGGTTGTACCATTTTCTATTCCTGCCAACAGTACACAAGTGTTGTAGTTTCTGTATATCCTCACCAACACTTCTGATTTTCTGGGTTATCTTATTCTTAACCATCCTAATAGTATGAGGTGTGATCTCCCTGTAACCTTGATTTGTAACC